TAGTCAGAGAATAGCCAGAGTATTTAGCTCTCTAACCTTCAACAGATGTAAATTGCATTTTTATGTCCAACTAAGAAATAAGCTTTCTTTTGCAATACTATGGAAAAATTAGATGGCATTAAGCTGTATTTGAGGGTATATTTTATTTTTCTCCATTTTTCTTTATTTTAGATAATATTTCTATTTCTCTCTCACTATTTTTATCTTTCATCTAATATTTTACTTTTTTTTTTTCTATCACCTCTTGATTTATTAATATCGCTTGTTACAAATGATACTTTGTTTATTTGTGTCTTCTAATTGTTCTTGTTAAACATCTTAACTTCACTTTTATCTCAGGTATTCGCTCTCATCCCTCCTCATTTAGTTTTCCATATCACAGCAGCATTCTCTGCTCTTAGTTAATTTTTTCTCCAACTCCATTCTCAACTTCATACTTTTCTTGCAGTTAACCTATGTATTGTCCTAAAGAAACCATTGTTTTCCTTTGACAGTCTTCTGAAAAAACTTCTCTGCAGAAACTGTCTCATACTTGAAAGACTCATTTGTTGCATATTGAATTGTCTTTGTTATATTTGTTATATTTAATACATTGTTATATATTTTGTTATAGTGCATACCTCCTTGTATGCACTTCTATTGTCATATTCCTCCATTTCAATATCTTTTACTATCCTGTCTTTTTTTCCTTTTGTGTGTACATGTGCACATTTATGGAAACATTTTTTGTTAAATAATCTTATACCTAGAAATACTGTAAAGAAAGAAGAAAAAAGCACTGATTTTATTCTTCCTCAGTTAGCAACTATGGTTGTAAGAGATTATTCTTTTACATCATTGTCTCAAAGCTTGCTGGGGACACAGATGGACAAATGCAAGCAAGTCCTGGGCAACGGTTGCAAAATCCTTTGTCTGAGGGACACTGATGGACAAGGCCAGGGGCAATGAGAGACAGGTAAGCTGCAGCTTAATGGCTGTGAAGCGGTCTTTTGTGTGGACTTATCTCAAGGAAGGTGGCCATCTCAAGTGGTACTCACATGACTCTTGCTCAAGTGCCCTGGGATGTCACATAGGCAGGAGAAAAAGTAGAATAAAAGAGAAATTGAAAATGATGAGGTTTAGGGTTTTCTGGCAACAGATTCCTCACAAAGAAGAGATTTCTGCCATGAGAAGCCTCACAACCTGCCTCTCTCCCTCCTGGACCTGCTCTGCACTCTACCACAATGCTGAAGAACAACAAAGGTGTCTGCCATCAGATTCCTCACTACGGAATTCCTGCATGCTGACGGACTCTCCTGGGCCTGCTACCTGAGTCCTGCTTCTTCCTCCTGGATTGGTTCTGTGACTTCTTCCTGCTACCTGCTTGCTGCCCAAGGCCAGCCACGCTGCTGCTCTCCCACCCCCTGCTGCTTTTGCCTTGGACCTTCAAAACGGCATGTGTGACGGGACCGCTGCTGTGCCCTGGTGGTGACTATCCCCACTTTAACGATTCTTGCTTCTTCCTTATCTTTTCTATCACCCTCCTTCCCTTCCCCGTCTCCCTGATTAGGATTTATAATAAACTGGTTGGACTAACATATGAACCATTGTTTCTTAATCTGACGCCAGGTGTACAGATATTAAAAGAACCTCATCTCCCTCCTATAAATTGGAGCGAGACAATAGTATAAGCCGTTAACTATTGTATAGCTCAATATATGAAGAAATGTTACTATCAACAAGACTCTTTAGATGTTTAATTGCATTTTAATCTTTTTGGATAATTTGCAAAGATAACAGCTTTCAAAGGAAAAGCTAGCAAAAAGTAATCAGTATTAATATTATTTATAAATTATTTGCATAGATTATAGGAAAATCTTGCATATACTTTTCTTTATTGCAAGTGTAAGTATAGCTTGCTTGTGAATTTCCACCCGTAGATCAACTGAGATTGCTAGTTTTATTACCCAATGTAACATTATGATATTAGTTCACTTATAACAATGACCATCTGTACAGCAATGATATGTAGAACTGCATAAGAAAGTCACTAAGCTTCTTACTGCTCCTAGCTGTTGTACAGAACAAACTTCCATTACTATTATCATGCGTTTTACTTATAAATCCTCTTCATCATTGGGAAAGCAAAACAAATGTTATTCAAAGCAGAAATAATCTAAATAATGCATAGGGATGGGGTGTTAGGCATCTTCTAAAGAAAGGTAGAATTGTTTGAGTTGGAAGGGACCTTTAAAGCGTCACTTTGGATGCTTTGTGGGTCTAAGTCCGCAGCCATGAACAAAAAAAATCTCCAGCTCAGTAAGGTTGGTAGAGCCTGGGCCAGCATGACGTTCAGTATCTCCAGGGACATGACACTGATAACAGTGCAATTAATTGGAATGTCTATGTCCCTAAACATTAAATTGAATACTAATTTGGTGACAAAATTTGGAAAAAGGCCAGTAGAAAGAGTATGGTTTTTTTCCACTAAAATTCTAAAGCTGCAAGAGTGGAAAAAAATATTTTTTTTTCTGCTGCTTTTGGCTGTCATTTGCCTAGAATAGATCCTGGACTCGTACATAGATCTGGGAATTACAGAAGATCCTAGAAATATGCATGTATATTTAAGTTAAAGAGGAGTAATTTTTGTCTCTATAATTGCACATCATATGTAAACCAGGGTTGTATGCAGTTTTAAAAATATCATGATTCATGAGGAAATACTTAATATACACAGAATATCTATGACTGTTTGTACTTCCCTTGGAATGAAAAGAGCAGAAGTCTGTATTGCTAATTAATTGATTTATTGAAGACATAATTATTGAGAGTTCAGCTGTCATATGACCATCAATTGTCATCACAACATTTACATCAACACTGTGACAACCTGATGTCATTAATATGCATCAGTGAATTATCATTTATTTTCAGTTGACAGGAAGGCTTATTACAGTAAGGTGACTATGTGAGAACAATGCTTAAACAACCTGACAACCTATTGTATTTAATCTCCAATCACATTAGAAGAAAATGTTAATGACTAACTGAAATATGTATTACCCGTACATTGTGAGGTGCTCAGGTACTTTTGGACAGTTTACTTTGTGTGTGGGTGCCCAGTATATCTGTAAGTAAACTAACAAACTGAAGATTTTCAGAGCAGGAAAAAAAAAAAAAAAAAAAAAAAAAAAAAAAAAAAAAAAAAAAAA